TGCTCGTGCCTGAAGTGAACGCACGGATGTGGCCAGTGCAACATTCTCAAAGGCCTGCGCAAATCTTGCATTTGGATCGTGGGTTGGTTCGCTTCGGGGGCAGGGGAACCCGGAAGGGGGTTATTCGGAGCGCGTCCACGAACGAGAGAGAGGGGCATCATAGCGATCCGTCTCGTGGTCTCTACGCGCCCCTTCTGCGGCAGGCCAGGCGCCGCGGCGCGGGGAGTTGCGCATTCGAACCGCGAGGTTTCCTGGGTGATGTTGCCAGAAACGGGAACTGGTAAACCTGGAAGCCTACGCGGTGTAAGCTGAAAAATAATGTGATGATCTGGGCCGCCGGAGGGGCACCGCGCCACTCTCGCGGCCCCAGTCTGAGCTGCTGAGCCTCGAGAGACCTCCTAATCCCCACGCGGTGTCTGAAGGCAAGAGGGGCGGTGCTCGGAGTCGCCAGTCTTCGCCGACAACTTGGCGCCCGCTGCCGCGCATGGACAATCGCCTGGATTCGGGTCGGGCGAAAGGGGGGATAGCAAAGGGGGGGGGTTGAGAATCAGCTCACGTAGCTGATTTTCCCGGCGCCTCCCTGCGCCGGAGGCGGCCATGCATCGAGGAATGGGCCCCTCGGTGAGGCCGACACCAGCTGCATGCAGCAAATTCCGTAACCCCCCCCTTCCCAATCCCCCCCTTTCGCCCGGCCCGATGGATCCAGACAGAGTCCCCGTAGATGCGCGTCATGGCGGCGGGCGCAACTCCTGAACTCGGTTAGCTCCTTGTCAGCCATCCCTGGGATCATGGGTCCGCATCCAGCACCTGACTTAATCTCTGACGTGTAGATCACACTCGTCCGAGATCTGCCCCGAGGATAGTTCGGGTGAGCCCGCTGCGTCTCATGGGCCGGGGCCGGTCCTTACGCTTGGGGCGACTATTATTGTTTTCCCTGTGCCGCCCCGGTGCCGGGTCACTTCCGAAGGGGGCAGCGGTGCCGATGGCGAGGGGCGGGCAGTTGCGAGCTAACTTTTAGCCCGGCGGGTGCGACGCCCGCTGAGACGATGCGATGGTGGCAGCCTTATCCTCGGCAAGCCTCACATCGCGGCGGCCCTCGAATACCCCCTGCGAATCGGCGGCGGCCGAGGCGAGGGCACTGGCGACTAGGTCGGGGGCGCCAGACACTGTCGTGGCATCGTCGCCAATGCGGTGCCCTCGCGAGACCTTCTGGCTACGGATGCAGAGCAGGTCGAACTCGAACACGGCGCAAACTTGGACGAAAGCGACGCAGAAGGCGCCCCCTGCAACCAAGCCTGATCCCGCAAACTATGGCACGGGACTGCGGCTGGCCCCAAGTCGGAATGTCCTGGGACAGCGCCAAATGTTGTAAGTGGTCGCGGCGAGCACCCGAGGCGCGCCCCAGTGCTCGGCGCGGGCCCGAAGCCGGGCTGACCGGCAGGATTCGCAATTCTTCTGACCATGCAAGATGCGCGCCGCCGCGATGCCGCCGCCGCTGGCGGCTTCTTCAGCCAACGGGGGCTGCTTTCCGACGCTGGCCTCAGAGGGCAGACCAGCTCCGAGAAACCAATGGGGCCTGTGCGGGCCTGCCCCGCGAAGAGGCTCGGGCCCCGATCGCCTCGAGCGTTCCAAAATCCGAACAGGCGCAGTCGCAGGTGGACTGGGCCGAGGTCCACCTCTGGGCCCCAAGAGCGGTGGCATCACCCACGAGAGCTGCGACGGGAGCAGGGCGAGGCGCCCAGTGGCCCCAGAGATGAGCGACATCTCTTCTAACGCAGCGTCGAGACATAATCGCGCGCAAAAAATCTGAGGCTGCGCACCGCGCCCTTGCAGCGCGATCTCGACGACGATCGAACCTGCTCGGGGCGCGCGCGTTCGCAACAAATCCGGTCGGGGCCCAAACCTCTGGGGGAGCGAGCGCGGCCTTCCATGCGCCCCCTGGGCTTGAGCGTCTCGGCCTCGCTTGGCGAGGTCCGGCGAGTGTGTCCCAGGAGCTACCTGAATCGCCGTGGAATGCCATTCCTTCTGGAGCTTGGTGAAAAGGATCATCGAACGGGCTGGCCCTCCAAGGGCCCCCCCGTAGCATGCCACCCCAAGACAACTTCTGGATCTTCTTACTGGGCCCGGCAAGAGCGCCCAAGGAAAAATCAGCTCCCCCGCGCCGCTCCTGCCACGCGGGAAAAGCGGGCCGCCGCGCAGACGCCAAATGCCGCCTGGCCCACGGGGGCGCGTTCAATTTCAGGTTGAGACCTCCCTCGCCCACTGCGCATATCTCGGCGGCCGTGAGAAACTCGGCAAAAGCATCGCAACGCCGTCGCCATCCCGAGCAGACCTGGAGCTGATCTTCAGAAAGTTTTGGCTTTGAAGAGACGGGGGCCCCAAGATGACTTGATGGCGCTCGCGCGCTGGCCGGCTACCTCGGCCTTGCGTCCCAGGGAACGCGCCAACTCAAGCCGTGCGCAGTCGACGAAAACGGGCCGCGCTGCATATAAACTAGCCCACGCTCCACCTGCGAGAGCATGACGAGCACCGGTGGCAGCGCGCGGGGAGGGGTGACGAGTTCCCTCCGAGCGCCCCTCATGCGGCCGCGGTTCAAAGGGAAGCCCGGAGAGGTAGCTTCTGAAAACTATGCAAACCAACTGCGCCACGCTGAGTGCGTCGGGGCATATGGCCAACAATGGTCGGCGTGGCCTGATCTCCCAAAGCGCGCCATCGGTGACCCATTACACTAAATGAATAAGATTAGGGCCTATCAGGAAGAAAATCATGGTGGGGCTGCACGATAGAGACCTGCGCGTCGGCATCGTCGGCGCCATGAAGAGCGAGCTCAATTTGCGAGCAAACCGGGAGCCTTCCAGAACCTCAGACACAGGTTGGAACCGCCCGAGACAATCGAATGAGTCGCATACGAATCCGGGTGCCACAGCAGGGCCAGGAGACCCGCATTGATGGGGCCTGCAGCATCAGCTGATTCAGGGTGCACGGAGAAAAGCGGCAGCTTGAGCCACCCAGGGAAGTCCACCAAAACTGTGAATAGACAGTGGGGAGCATTAGGGGTCTCACCTTCAGAAGGCCAGAGCAGCCCAATACTCAATCTGCCGAACACAGCCACGCAAGCCGACGGCAGACCCGATGGATGTATATATAGTCGAATAAAACGGAGAGACACACGCCACCCAAAACGTTGTGCCTTGTCGAAAGCCCTGCCGATGACGCACATGCTGGCGCCGACTTCCTGCGCACAACGAACAACTGCTGAACTCTCGCGCGCTCGCCGTTTCAACGCGGCCCAGCACGAGCCGTTACAACTCTCTACACAATACTGCCCAACTTCAATATTAGACCTGCACCGGGCCCCTCTCAGGGGAGGGACTGGAACACCTGCGCAGGAAAGAAGTATCCCGCAACATTTTAAAGCCTGGCCGGCAAACATAATGTTACCTACACTTCTGCTTCTCAGTCCAAACACCAAGCTGCTTCATGAGGTCGGAGAAGGCACGCTCGTCATCCCCGTCCGCTGTGGCGGCCGCGATAAGCTGATCGATGCCCGCATTTGTAATATCATCCGGATCACCAAGGCCCATCGGGACAAGTTAGTTCTTACCACCATTGGCCCCGGAAGGGGCCGTTGCGCCTGAGGCAACTCTCTTGGGAGGGGTAGAGGCTTTGGCTGCCCGCGTCTTGCTCTGCGCCTCGAACAGCATCTGGTACTCTGCGAACTGCAGGGAGGCCATGAGCTGCTGCATCTCCGGGTTGTCCTTGGCGGCGTCCCAATCCCATCACGCACGCAGTTGTCGAACTCGGAGGACTAGGTAACACCCGGGCCATGGTCATCTGGAATTCCAGCTTTGCGGCCTCGGCACCAAACGAGCCTTCTCAAGCATCGACTGCAGCTCCTGATTATCTGCCTCGGCGGAAGCCTGCTGCGTCTTGATGTCCTCGCCCTGACGCTCAAGCTTGGCGCTGGAAAGCTGCAGCTTGTGCCCCGAAGGTGTGTGTGTGTGTGTGTCGAGACGAAAAGGCGTGGTACTGGTGAGCTCCTTGCGCTCATCAGCCAACTCCTTCCCAATTGACTTTTTGATTGCGGCAGGAAGCGGATCATGAATTCGTAATCTGACTCCATGGACCTACCTGGTCTTTGCCAACAGCGCCCGGCCAGCCTCATCTGTCACAGCCTCTGCGCAAGCGTCTGCTGCATCTGGGGAGCGGCGGCCCCTTGTGGTAATCGCACGACCTATGGATTGACGAGCTGTTTGACAAAACGCTCCATCTGCTTTTGAAGCTGGCCGAGCTGGTGCACAACAGCAAAGGTATGATCAGTTCATAAACCACGAGGCCATGCACCACAACGCGAGAGAAACGGCGTAGATGTATGCATAGTCTTGATATCCGCGGTCTTCTTCTTGGCGCGATCGATGATATTATGCGGAGTCGTCTTTCCGCACAATGACTCGGTGCGGAACGCGAATTTGGAGTTGCGTTCGCACTATGGACATCCCCACAACGGTTGCTTGGGACCTGTGGGGACATCAGGATCGTGCCCCATGCGGCAGCACGGGGCACACCACGATGCTTCTGCAAGACCTCCTTGGGAACTGATGGATGAGGTCTCTCGGCATGAGCACCGAATCATATGGCCCGCAACAGCGATTACCGCTCTGAAGACGGTTGTTGCAGACGCAGGCCGACCATGTGGAGCCAGAACGGCTGAAGGGGGAGGGCAAGAGGGATCTCCACCTCATTATTCCAGACCTTCCGATCTGCGCCGAAGGTATGAAGGTGATGCGTGTCTTCAATTGTCTTTGGATGCCTTGGAATGCCTTGAATGTCTTTGGATGTCTTTGAATGTCTTTGCTTGTGTACGCATCTCTGGGTAATTATGTGATTGTATGTTGTTGATGAGTTGGTTATGTCAATGTTGTTGTCAATGAGAAGGGGAAGATGGGAAAAGGGAGCACGGGGAAAGGAAGGGGAGGACGGAAAGGGGGGGGGGAGGGGAGTTCTCCCACCCTCTGCGGGTGTCCTCCTGTGGCACCTGCGAAGGCCCCGCCGGCTGCGGACCGGCGCCGCCAGGGCTCGCGCGCCCCGCGGGACTCCCGGACCGGCTGGCGCTCTGGCGGGGGCGGGACGGGGGGGGGCGGACCGAAGAATATGGTCTTCTTGCTTTGTGGTTCCGCTGGCTCCGCAGGAGCCATCAAGTTCTCATGCCACCGTGGCAAAGTTCTGAACTCCTCCCTTCGCTACTCGCGAGGAGCAGGAGGAGGAGGAGGAGGAGGACGAGGAGGAGGAGGAAGAGCGGAATAAGGAGAAGGAGGAGGAGGAGGAGGGGGAGGAGGAGGAGGAGGAGGAGGAGGAGGAGGAGGAGGAGGAGGAGGGGAGGAGGGGAGGAGGAGGAGGAGGAGGAGGAGGAGGAGGAGGAGGAAGAGGAGGAGGAGAGGAGGAAGGAGGAGGAGGAGGAGAAGGAGGAGGAGGAGGGGGAGGGGAGGAGGAGGCGGAGGAGGAGGAGGAGGAGAAGGGAGGAGGAGGAGGAGGAGGGGAGGAGGAGGAGGAGGAGGAGGAGGACGAGGATGAAGAGGAGGAGGACGATGAGGAGGAGGAGGAGGAGGAGGAGGAGGAGGAGGAGGAGGAGGAGGAGGAGCGCGAGGGGCCAGGCCCGTGGCCTGGACTCTGTGTGTGCGCGCACGATCTGCTGACACGCCCCGTGTGTGCGCGCCTCGTGTCTGCCTCTGCGCGCCCGCCCACGAGCCTCTCAGGGGACGGGGGCCTCTGGCCAGCCACTCCGACCTGGGTTGCGAGGAAGTCCGTGGCTGGGCAGCGTGTTGGGGCTCGGTCCTCCTCCTGCTCCCGCCTCTGCCCAACTTCTCCTCCCATCGTCCTCCTGTCCTCCTCCTCCACTTGCGCCGCATCCTCCCTGCTCCTCCCTGCGCCCTCCCCACTGGAAGAAGGTCCCCCTCTGGAAGAAACATGTCCCTACCGATCCCTGCCCCTCCTTACACACGCCGCAAACGTCAATTGTCGGGGGGGGGTCCGTGGGGATTTCTCGGACCGGCGCTAGAGACCCCTCCCTGGTGATCGGAGCACTCCATGGGCGGCGCCAGAGGTGCCTCCCGAATTCATGGGAGTCAGGGCGCGGGTTCGGATTTCGCCACGTGGTCGACGAATTTCTGAATCCTGACCCCGCCGCCCATTGAGTTGCCCGAAGAGTTTGTCGGCAAGAGCAGAGTTCGGAGATCGCCGCCGAGACCCGCTATTCTAAAAGCGACGTAACACTGTGGAAAACTGTGGGCGCCCGAAATGGGTACGGAAACCATGGACGCGATGCCCAGCGGAAAATGCTGTCCAAAACCGACAGCGGCCGCCGTTGGGCAGGCGGCCTCCTGTCTCAAATGGACAACGTCCGCGGCGGCGCGCCCGCGAGTCCTGTCCAACATGAGCAGGAGCTGCTGCTGGGCATCATGCCCAGTCTTTCCGTACAGCGGAGGCCAGTCCACACGAAACCTTCCACGAGAAACCCATCCCTGAGACCCCAGGACGTCCCTTGATTCTCGGTATGGGAGCGTCGCGCTTTCCACCGCAAAACCATCGAAACCCAAGAAACCCAGTGCACGCTGGAGGCAAGCAGGGTGTTTCTTGGCCTGGGTCTCCACTGTACCCATGCCACTCGCGCAGAAACATCACAACTGGAGCGTTGATCCCACCGAGTATCGTTTAGCCGATCCCCATCCCCACCAGCGTTGGCTGGGCCCCACTGGCCGATGTGCCCCCCTAGATGGGGATATAGGCCGTATCCTTAGGGTTTCGAGGGGTGTATCCCCAACTGGGGGTGTAATTTGGTGGGGGGGTCGCAGGGAATGAGCATGGGGATGGGGATCGGTTGAACGACACTAGCCCACAACTTCCGAGCGGGATCGAGCTCCGCGGAGGGCCTCGGGGCCCTCAGCCGTGCGCGGGATCGCCGCACGCCCAGCGAGGAAGAACAGGTGCGACGCCCAGGTCCCCGCGGGCAGCCGCTGTGTCGCCGCGCCGTTGGCCCTCGACGCGCCCAAAGGCACGGCGCCGACACTACTGGAAACCCACGGCAAGCCCTGCGCCCCGCACCCCAGGCAGACGCAGCCGCCAAGGCGGCCGACCCCACGGCCAGCCCACCGCGCCCGAGGCGGCTGTTGCGCCGGTGGCCAGGGCGCCCTCTCCAAGACGAGAGAGACGGCTCGGCGTAGCGGCCGCAACTCATAACGAACAGGGGCCATTGAGCTCGATTAAGGAGCCACTGAACGACATCAGGCTGGATTGAGCCCAGGAGTATGCCCTATTGAACGGGATGGAGCACATTCGCCAAAATTGCACCAGACTGGGCGAGTTTTCGACCAGGGGTTTTCCAGCGCCGATTCTGAATTCAACTTTCCAGGCGTCAAGTACGGGGTCTCTGGGAAGTCCCGACCCGACCCGTTCTTGGACGGCGTGGGGCACCAACTGGAAACTGCCAAAAACCTCCTGCCGCGATCCAGTTTGTCAACACGCTGGACACTGGATTTCGTGTCCGTGTGCCCAGGGCCGCAAGCAGCGCCAGAGCGTGATCTTCGATTTGATGGCTGTGGCAACGATGACGTGGACCATCACGGTGACAGTAACACTCGGTGGTGGATAAACCTCCCTTTAGTAAGCCTCCCTTTAGTGAAGACGGCCCGGGACCGAAACCGACGGACCTGGACCCGCAAAAATGACGGCCGCGACGCCCTCTCGCGAACCGAAAACGGCCGACTCCTCAATCGACGTGTCAGGGTAGGAGGTCCATCCACCTCCGAAACACAGACGACGATGATGGCACGACCAGGATGATGCTGGAAATGACGGTGGCACTGGTCTTGGAAGCCTGGAAATTGGCACCAACACCAAGACAGGGGGCTGCCTCCACAGGGGGGAGATGATCCTAGATCTCGGCGTTGGCGGTAATCTTTCGGCCACCCTGGAAGCCAGAATATGACCCACCATCAACGAGATCAGGGCCTTCGTCCCTCGGGGGAGGGGGGGGCGGCGGCCACCTCCCTCCCGAAGGCCTCCCCCTCCCCCGTGCGCCCTCCGCCCCCAGAGGCGGCACGAGGAGCAGCAGGAGGGAGCGCGGGAAGGGGGAGGACGGAGGAGGGGAGGAGCAGCAGCAGGGAGCGGAGGAAGAGAAGGAGCAGGGGCTCAAGCAGGAGCAGGGAGCAGGGGGCGGCAGGACAGAAGAGGGCCGATCTTGGTGTTGGTGTCAACCTCTGGGCCTGCGATGGCGGCGGGGAGGGGACCCCGCTGGGCCGGCCGCCACTGCTCCCCGCTGGCCGGGGGGCCTGCGAGCGGCCCGGGCTGAGCGTCCCGGGCGACTGCGGGCGGGGGGGGGTATCGAAGAGGAGGAGGAGGAGGAGGAGGAGGAGGAGAAGGAGGAGGAGGAGGAGGAGGAGAAGGAGGAGGACGCCCAGACCTCCGACGCTCGGAGGGCAGGCCCCGGACGCCACGCCCCAGCGTCGCGCAGAGCTGGCTCCGCCGCGGCGCGGCAGGGGCGATCCGCATGGGCGCTCGGATGTTGTCGGGGGCGCTCCGCAAGCGACTTGTCCGGCAAGAGGGGGCGCGCGGGGAGGAGGAGCGCCCGCGGAGGCGGGAGGGAAGGGGAGGGCACTCCCAGCTGAAAGCGTTTCAGGATGGACGCGCCGGGGCGGCCAGCCGGGGCTGAAGTGAAGTGGTAGCGGACGCGGGACGGCATCACTCGCGGCCACACCCAGGGACCGAAGCCGGGGCTGCAGCCGCTGGAAGCGTGAAAAACAAAATGGGCACGTAACCACGTCAGGAAACACGGCAGGAAGAGGGCCCTCGGGGCTGCGTCAGCGCCATCTGCATACAGAACCAAGGCCGAGCTGACGGCACGAGAAGCCCGCATTGGGCTGCGCCGACGCGGGCGGGCTGCAGCCAGACGCTGCCGGAACAGTCACCAGGTTGCTGACGACTGCACCGGCGGTACAGCAGGGGCTGGAAGCGCTGGCGGGAGGACGAGGAGGAGGAGGAGGAGGAGGAGGAAGAGGAGGAGGATGAAGAGGAGGAGGAGAAGGAAAAGGAAGAGGAGGGAGAGGGAGAGGAAAGGATGGGGACGAGAAGTATGAGAAGGAGGAGGAGGAGGAGGAGGAAGGAGGGGAAGAGGAGGAGGACGAGGAGGAGGAGGAGGAGAAGGAGGGAGAGGACAGGAGAAGGA